AAAAAAAAAAAAAAAAAAAAAGAATCCCAGGCCTGCCTCTTTGGAACGCGCAAGGCCAACCAGCTCAAGAAGGGTCTGAGCTGCCACTGGCCGGGAGCTTGGCCCCACTGCTCACCAGGCTGGCCTTGGTAGGTCCCAAGCTCCCCCAGGCCCAGGAAAGGGGCTGGACAGACAGACCTGCAACCTCCCAGGGACTTTCCACTGCCTGGAGTCCTTTCGGCCTCCCAGCCAGGCAGCTCCTCAGGGACCCCTGTTGGCAATGCCTCGGCCTGTCTCTGACCCTCACAGATCCATGTTCATTTCCTGCTAATATCCGACATCCAGCACCCAAAGTGTCAAGCAGGTCTGCAGGGGCAGCTCAGGAATGGGGCTGGTTCGTAAATGTCGCTGGGAGAACCCGGGTGAGGTCTCAAAGCCTGAGCCACGGGAAGGTCCTTCCCTGACCAGAGCACCAGGGCTTGTCAGCCTCCATGTACCTCCTCCACATATTCCGGCCCCACCGGCTGCGCATCAGAGCAGCCCTGGGGAGCTTCCTCCGAGTATCCTCGGGTGGGGGCTCCGGGACCCTCTGATTTGGGTGGGGTTGGTTTCTCCCACTGGGGTCTGCAGGCTGCTGCCTGCGGCTCAGGAGGCCCTGAGGGGACAAAACATGTCACTTGTAACCTGTTCCATGAGAAGGCACTGCGGCAGCAGACCACCAGGCAGCAGGGGGTGGAGAGCCACCTAGACCCCGGGCTCTGCCATCCCCTTCCCTCCTCCCGATGTGGGGGGGGGGAATGGCCTGGGAGCAACCTCACCCTCCCTTTCATGCCAGTGTGTGACCCAGCCGAGAAAAGGTCAATTTCTTTCTTTCTTTTTTGAGATGGAGTCTTGCTCTGTCACCCAGGCACGATCTCGGCTCACTGCAACCTCCGCCTCCCGGGTTCAAGCAATTCTCCTGCCTCAGCCTTCTGAGTAGCTGGGACTATAGGTGTGCACCACCACGCCCGGCTAATTTCTTGCATTTTTAGTAGAGACAGGGTTTCCTGATGCTGGCCTCGAAGTCCTGACCTCATGATCCACCTGCCTCAGCCTCCCAGAGTGCTGGGATTACAGGAATGAGCCACCGCGCCCAGCCTATGAGGCCAATTTCAATCTGTCGGTGGAGAAGCGCTGGTTTTTAGGTGTTTGCTTGAGGAACCCACCGACAGCACAAAATCCACATCCCTTAGTTAATCGACGATCAAGTATCAGGTGGACCAAGACTTGCACTTAACCTGCCCCTGCTGGGCAAAATTACGGAGCCTCGGGGCAGACAAATGTCTCTGTTATCGGCATGACTTGATGGCTCCATCTTCAAAATCATGTGGCTATTCAAGAATCAAGGCTGCTGAGGCTAAAAACAGAGCATCCCCCACGCCGGCCCATGCATAGCACGGTGGTCCAGGGCTGTCTCTTACGCAGAGAGCTCCAGCTCCACCTCCACCATTGATGGCTTTTCCGTCTACACGCTGGGGCTGGTGTCAACATCGACTTCACTGAGTTTTGGGCTGGGCACAGTGGCTCACGCCTCACGCCTCACGCCTGTAATCCCAGCGCTGTGGGAGGCTGAGGTGGGAGGATCTCTTAAGCCTAGGGGTTTCAGACCAGCCTGAGAGACATAGCAAGACCCCATCTCTAAAAAAAAATACAAAAAGTAGTGGGGAGTGGTGGTGCACACTGCAGTCCCAGCTACTCAGGAGGCCGAGCTGGGAGGATCGCTTGGCCCAGGAGGCGGAGGCTGCAGTAGCACCTCTGTACTCTGGACCAGGTGACAAGGCGACGCTGTCTCAAAAAACAAACAAAAACCCATGAAAAAGAGTTGTCATGGAGAATCCCAACACCCAGCAGCAGCCCAAATTCTACCAGAAGAGGCCAGGCACGGTGGCTCACGCCTGTAATCCCTGCACTGTGGGAGGCCGAGGCGGGCAGATCACCTGAGGTCAGGAGTTCGAGACCGTCCTGGCCAACATGGTGAAACCTCGTCTCTACTAAAAACACAAAAATTAGCCCGGCGTGGTGGTACAGGCCTGTAGTCCCAGCTACTTGGGAGGCTGAGGCAGGAGAACTGCTTGAACCCAGGAGGCGGAGGTTGTAGTGAGCAGAGATGGTGCCACTGCACTCCGGCCTGGGCGACAGAGCAGTGAGACGCCATCTCAAAAAGAAAAGACTACAGGAAGAAATGGCATTACCATTTTACTGGTTCCGCCTGCTCTCTCTGGAATTGTCTCAAAGGATCTCTAAGGTTGAGGGTGGTGTGGGCCAGTGGGGGGCCATCCTGCCCTGCTGCAGTGAGGGAGTGACGGCACCAGCCCCTTGCCCCCGCCCCCAGAAGACATGAAATCTCTTTCGTGAAAATCGACTGGATGGTGACCGCTCAGGAAACTCCCACTAGGCGGCCAGGGCGCGTGTGGGTACGTGAACACGTAGGTAGACGTGGCAGAGAATGCAGAGACACGTACCCTTGCATGAGGCCTTTGAGGCCACAGGTATCCTGGCCAGCGCTGGTCTGCTCGGGGCACACACACTGGGGCTGGTGAGGGGCATGGCCTTGGCTTCAGCCCCAGGGGGACTCTCCGTGGCCCCGGCAGGCTCAAGCGTGGGAATGGGCTTCCCCAGTTTGGTGTGCAGCTTGAAGACCTGGAAGAGACAGAGCTGGACCCTGTGTGAGGGCCACTCCAAGGCCTGATGGCCTTTTCCAAGAAGTAGGAAGGGCCTCCATGGGAGCGAAGCGGGAGTGAGTGTGGGTGGGCCGGTCCTGGGGACCCCACCTCCTCTCTGGCTCTGACTCTCTGGATCTCACCCCCTCCAGAAGGCCCTTCCACGTGCTTGTGACTCCTCTAGCGCTGTGATACCCTCACCGGCTCACATGGACGCTCTTCCCCCTCCTGCACCTTGTGGGCTTCGAGGTGGGGACGTGTCTCTGCCTCCCAAGCCCCAGGCTAGTGCCCCCGATAGCCCGGGACTCAGCGTGTGTGGGTGGACTATGGGTGTGCACACGTCCCTGGACGCACGCCCACGTTCTGCACGCACATGTGCACGTGATCACATCCGCATTCTGGCCGTGCCCCATTCTCGGCACCTCTGGGTGCAAGGCACAAAGCTTCCACGTGCACAGGGTCGCTGTGTGTGTGCTGGGGACCCTCTCCCACACACTGGCCAGCTCTGAGTGTCTGAGACGCACTGCACAGACTTCCCTGCACCAAACCCACAGTGGGCTCAGGGCCTCCCTGACCCCCAGGCCAAGCCCCAACCTTCGGGGGGTGACACCTGCGGCTCCGTCCCACCCAGCACCTAGCTCTCCCGCTCCCAGGCCAGTGAGTCTCACTCCCCTGTCACTCCCCTGTCTCTCCCACCACCTCCTTCCCTCCTCCATGCCTCCCTGCCCATTCCTCTTTCCCCTGAGGGTTCACACAGGCCCTCAGCAGGCTGTCCTGAGCTGAGCCAGAGAATGAGGCCGTGGATGAGCCTCTGGGCAGCTGGGGGAGATGAGCCAGGTCCCCAGCCAGGCCTCCCAGGGCGGCCCAGCGTGACTGACAGCAGAGGCTGCAGCACAAGCCGGTTGCCCCCTCCCTGCCCTCGGGTGGGGGGGACTCCATCCCCTTTTACCCAGAACATGACGTAACCCAGGCCTTTTTTCTTGAGATGGAGCTTTGCTCTGTCACCCGGGCTGGAGTGCAGTGGCAAGATCTCAGCTCACTGTAACCTCCACCTCCCAGGTTCAAGCAATTCTCCCGCCTCAGCCTTCCTAGTAGCTGGGATTACAGGCGCATGCCCCCACGCCTGGCTAATTTTTTTATTTTTAGCAGAGATGGGGTTTTGCCATGTTGGCCAGGCTGGCCTCGGACTCCTGACCTCACGTGATCCATCTGCCTCGGCCTCCCAAAGCGCTGGGATGACAGGTGTGAGCCCTTGTGCCCAGCCTTACCCGGGCCCTTTTAAGGCCATAGGGAAACAGTGCTACTACAGCAGGCGGTGTGGAAAGCAAGACCCCAACGGGGGCGCAGCGTGTGCTCTCATGGCACGCAGTGCAAGCCCTGTCTGTCGCCGCGCCTGAATGCCAACGCTTTCTTGGAAGTGTGAGTCTGAGTGTCTCGGCCACTTCCTGCTTTTGTGCAATGAGCAGGAGCAACTTTTACAAGTGGACAGGAGTCCAGGCGCGTAACCCCAGCACTGTGGGAGGCCGAGGCGGGCGGATCACGTGAGCTCAAGAGTTCCAGACCAGCCTGGCCAACATGGCGAAACCCCGTTTCTACTAAAAATACAAAAATTAGCCAGGTTTGGTGGTGGGCGCCTGTAATCCCAGCTACTGGGGAGGCTGAGGCAGGAGAATCGCTTGAACCTGGGAGGCAGCTGTTGCAGTGAGCCGGGATAGTGCCACTGCACCCTAGCCCGGGAGACAGTGTGAGACTCCACCTCTAAATAAATGAATGAACGAATGAATGAAATAACAGGAAAGCAGTCTGGCCCCTCGGAGATAAGGAGGCATGGCCCTGGGCAGCCGGCCCTGGGGTGCGCTCCACTTGGGGAGGCTTTTCTGGGCCCCCTCTTATCTCCCCTGGTGCCTCTCTGGGTCCCAAGTGCTGACCTTGGCTTCCTCCCCAGGGGTGGGGGAGCCTGGGCCGGGGCAGGGCATACCTTCTGGTGCTTGGCTCCCCGGTTGTGGGCCGCGTAGGCGTCTGCCCTGGTGCAGGACACGGAGCACAGGTCACAGTGGAGCTGCGCCTGCACCCCCCGCGGGCTGCCGTTGGGCTGCACGCCTGTCTTCTGGGCCACCTCCTTCTTTCTGTGCTTCTGCCCTCCCAGATGCTCCCGGTAGGTCTGTAGCAAGGGGTGAGAGGTGGCCTAAGAGGGGGTCTGCACACTGGGGGCTGCCCATCCCCCTGTAGCCCCCGGCTCAGCACAGGAACTTGGCGGGTAGCACAGGCCTGCTGTCCCCATTCCGCCATTGCCTGATGCCAGGGAAGTTCAAGTGTCCCTTTATTTTTCTAATTATTATTTTTTTTTGAGATGGAGTCTCACTCTGTTGCCCAGGCTGGAATGCAATGGCGTGATCTCAGCTCGCTGCAACCTCCCGCTCCCCAGTTCAAGTGATTCTCCCACCTCAGCCTCCTGAGTAGCTGGGATTATAAGTACCCACCACCATGCCCGGCTAATTTTTTTATTTTCAGTAGAGATGGGGTTTCACCATCTTGACCAGGATGATCTTGAACTGCCAACTTCATGATCCACCCACCTCAGCTCCAAAAGTGCTGGGATTACAGGCATGAGCCACTGTGCCCAGCATAATTTTAGTAGAGACAGGGTTTCACCATGTGGACCAAACTGGTCTTGAACTCCTGACTTCAAGTGTCTGCCCCCTTCAGCCTCCCAAAGTGCTGGGTTACAGGAACACCCCACCACACCGTATCTTCTTACGATAGACTTCTCAATTTTTTTTTTTGAGAGAGGGTCTCGCTCTGTCACCCAGGTTGGAGTGCAGTGCAGTGATCTCAGCTCACTGCAACCTCAGGAGTTCAAGACCAGCCTGGCCAAGATGGTGAAACCCCATCTCTACTAAAAATATAAAAATTAGCCAGGCATGGTATTGGGCGCCTGTGATCCCAGCTACTTAGGAGGCTGAGACCAAGAATTGCTTGAACCTGGGAGGCAGAGGCTGCAGTGAGCCGAGATGGTGCCACTGCACTCCAGCCTGGGCGACAGAGCGCGACTCTGTCTCAAAAAA